ATGTGACTGGGTGGGCATGTGACTGGGTGGGCATGGCCAACTCAACATCACTCACATCAAGGGATGCGTTGCCGGGTCTCTCCTCTCCCAGCCACACCTTGTCACACCTGACCTCAGCATATCCACAGTTCTGTAAAAATGTTGTTCACCTTTTTTGACTTTATTATCTGCATCTACATACTATAGATGTACTTTCATAGATGATTGAAAGGAGGAAATGTCTCACATGCTTTGCCCAAGAGTTTGATAGGTAAGTCCATAGAACAGGCTTTTGAAGGATTGCCACAAAGAAATGGGGGCAATGTATTTTCCAAAGCAGCAGAAGGCAAAACAAGAAACAATGGATGGAAACTAAACAAAGAGAAGCAACCTAAAACTAAGGAGAAACTTCCTAACAGTGAGAACAATTAACCAGTGGAATTGCTTGTCTCCAGAAGTTCTTAGTGCTTGATCATTAGTAGTTTTTCAGAAAAGACTGGACAGCCATTTCTCTGAAATGGTATAGGACAGTGATGACAAACCTTTTTTGACTGGTGTGCCAAAAGCAGGGGAAGCACAGGGGAGTCGTGCGTGGGCATGCCACACCCATAATGCCATGTGCACGACATCAGCATGCCCTAATGACTGGGTGGGTGGGCGTGGGTAATGTTGGCCTTATCTTCCAGAGCTTCCATGTGCCTCCACCTGCCTGAATGCCCTGCCCTTCAGATTCCAAAGGAACCAGTGCGTGGCTATCTACCAAAGCAAGGCTGCTGGCAGGCAGCCCTCAGGGCAGATGCCGCTGGGACCAAGATTGCTCCTTTGCTATGGTGCATGTGTGCAGCTCCAGGACATCCACTGCCCTCACTGAGCACTGCCACCATTGGGTGCTGGCCCCATCGGGATATGAAGGGCAGGGCACTTGGGCTGGCAGAGGCATGTGGAAAGTCTGGAGCTCCCCGGGAAGGGCTCCATCATGGAGGGCTGTGTCCCCAGACCAGGTGCTTTCTCTCAGGCCTCGAGAAGTGGTAGGAGGCAGACGGAGAAAAATGAATTGAGGCTGAGAGAAGCAATAGGAGGTAGAGGGCGAGAGAAAAGGGAGGCTTTGGAAACTAGCACTCTTCCAAGCCTCGCTTCCCCGAGTGGATGCCTGGTCATGCTGACCTCTGCCTCAAGGTTTCTGCTGCTGGAATGGGCGGGAGCAGGCTGAGGCAGCTGGGTGAATCTAGGCAAGCGAGGAGGAGTGGAGATCAGTAAAGGAAGGTAATTGAGGCAGAAAACTGGGCCACTGCCGCGTGGTAGGCTGCAGCGGAAGGGAGGCAAGCTGGCTGGGCTACATGGGAAGCAGCTATGCCAGAACTTGAGCCTTGCTCGCAGCCTCACCCAGGTAGATCAGGGCTGTTCAGCTGGACCATGGGGAGAGCCCCACATGGGATGCAGCCGCAGCAGTGAAGGCAAGCAAGCTGGCTGGCCCGCAGAGACCGTATGGTCAAGGCAGGCAAGGGAGCCATACAGAGAGTAGCAGCAGCTATGCTGGGGAAGTGGGTGAGATGAGGAGTGACTGGGCGCGGCAGGGCCAGCCAGTGGTGAGATTTGCCAAACTGCACAGAATCTTAACAAGTGGTTCGACCGAACCAGTCCGAACCATCTGAAGTGCACCTCTGGAATGCACTATAATTAAGTCAATTAAGTGACCAGTTGTTCAATAAGTACTACTTATAACATTGCTCAAAGCTGACTACACTAGACATCACAATAAGTGAAATGGGATCTCGGGGAATTATCTACAGCCAAATCAAAACTGCTTTTAGATGAAACAACGCAATGTGGCACTCCTAGAATTTTTTAGCCTTACCTTACTAAAGCAACAGTCAATTGCAAATAATCATGCTTTACAATCAAGCACAGCTGAGTAATGTGTTTAAGGCTAAGACTTCCTTTTCTTTTGCAGAGCCAAACTCAAGAACAAGCTATTTGTTAGAGAGAAACACCGAAACAAGTTGGAGACTACTACATTACTTTTGCTACAATCCTAAACACTGTTTGTAAAGCACTTTTTAAAACTTCTGTCTTTTTATATAAAAGATGATTCATATAGAACAGATGGAGCCACCCTGCAGCTCCTCAGCTGCAGGCAGCCCTGGGCTCTTAGTAATGTGATCTCACAAATAATAATAAAAATTTTAAAAATGTTAACTATGTTATAATCTTCGGACAACCTTGCTATTGCAACCCCCCCCCCCCCCTGCAATAATAATAATACAAAGAAAAATGGCACCTATTTAACTCCAAAACCAGAAGTAATTGTTCCTAAGGCCCAGTATCACTATAGAATCCCCAGAAGCAATGGTGGGATTTAATTTTTTTTACTACCAGTTCTGTGGGTGTGGCTTGGTGGGCAAGGCAGGGGAAGGATACCATAAAATCTCAATTCCCTCCCACTCCAGGGGAAGGTTCCTGCAAAATCCCCATTTCATCCCAATAAGCTGGGACTTGGGAGACGGAGAATAGATGGGACTGGGCCAGCCAGAGGTGGTATTTACCAGTTCTTCAAACTACTCAAAATTTCCGCTGACTCCAGAACTGGTCAGAACCTGCTGAATTACAAGCTCTGCCCTGAAGACATTGGTCTTGAGCTAAGTATGATTTAGAACAAAACTGCATTGATTCAAAATGTGGAACTGAAAGGCAAGGCAAGACTGCTTGTGTGATAGGTTTACATAAACATTTAATACCTTCTATCTGCCTTATTTTAAAAAGTTTTCAGTATTTTATTCCTCCATTGATAGCTTGCAAGGAACAATCTATTTTCATTCAAATGCAAAGAAGTGCAGCACAGGAATCTGATGTTTTAACATCAGTAAAAAGAAAAAAAAGTTATCTGTGAAAAATAATAGGGTTATTTAATGATGTATCCCTAGATTTGTTACATTATTTAAGATTATCTCAAGAAACCAATGTTTTCAATACATGTAATAGACTGGGAATTCATAAAAATGTTCAGTTTTAAAAAAAGCACCCACAAAAATACTCTGCTTTATTCATAACATTCACACCATACAGAGGCATGGTGGCACAGTGGTTACAATGCAATAGTGCAGACTCATTGCTCACTCCAAGAGTTCGATTCTCACCGGCTCAAGGTTGACTCAGACTTCCATCCACCCAAGATTAGTAAAATGAGGTCCCAGATTGATGGGGGCAATATGTTGATTTTGTAAACTGCTTAGAGAGAGCTGTAAAGCACTATGAACTGGTATATAAGTCTAAGTGCTATTGCTATTTTTATCTATCAGTTTATTATATAACCTAAATAAAAATCCATTTTCAATCGGAAGAAAAATTGTGCCACAAAAATATACTCCAATAGAATACAATAAAACCTTTTCTTCAAAAGAGACGTATAAGAAATGAAGAGAAATGTCAGACTAATCCCTCAGAACAATAAAGCATTCTTTACAATAAATATTCAAATAGAATGGTAGCCTATTGTGTGCTAGGGAGGTATAGAGTTCTATAGAAAGAAAAACAATAAAACCTAACATAAAAAACAGTTATGTGCTTGCTTGTGGTAAAATGAATTTGAATACAGCATTGTCTCCTCACCAAATGTCTGATTTTGTGTCATAACCCTGGTGTTGTAATGCCTCTGGGCTCATGTAGAAAGGTGTCCCAATAAAAGTAGTTGCTAAATCACAGGATCCTATCAAGAGTCGAGAAATTCCAAAGTCCCCTTAAAAAGAAGAGATAATCTGTTAGAAAAACAACCAATGAAGAAAAAAAAGCAAAAACTAGCTAACTATTTAAATTCAAATAGTTAAAAAATTCTCAGAGGTTACTAATAACACCTTGTAAACTGAGTACACATAGTGGCTAATATCATGAATAAAGAAGTTGCCCATATTTGCCTTCCATTTACAGAATAAGCTTTTATCCCCAACAAACTATATTTTTAAAAAAGGGCTACCAGCCTAGTTTTAAAATGTGTAATGCTATTGTGTATACAAATAGTCCTTGATTTACAACCATAATTGGGACCGCAATTTATGTTGCTAAGCAAGTTGGTCGTTAAGTAAGTTATAACCAATTTTGCAACACTTTGCAACATTAAGTGAATCACTGCAGTTGTTAAGTGAATCATATGATCATTAAATGAATCTGACTTCCCCCATTGACAGTAATGAGGATTGGTTGTAAGTCACTTATTAAGAGCTGTTGTAACTTTGAACTATCACTAAAAGAATGGTTGTAAGTTACCTGTAGTCAAATACACATTTATGCACATTCAAAAATTAATCATGCTTTTTTTAAGCAAAGAGATATATAAATAGAACACATTTAGTTTAAATTATTTTAAAATCATAGCACAATTATAAAATAAGGATTTACTGCAGCAGAAGTGGTTATAGGATAGTAGCTTATACATTATTTTGTAGTGATAAATAACAATAAAAGTATTAATGGAATTGTTGAAAAAATAGGATGGAAAAACATTGTTGTTTTTTTAAATTTAACATGTCTATAGAGATTCTCAGTCATCCAGGTCATAGTTATCCCAAAGGTGCTTTTTCAGGAGGCAACTGGACTTTCTTGTTGTTTTTTTTCTTTGAAGATGTTCCGTTTCTCATCCAAGAAGCTTCTTCAGGGTAGTGGGAAATGGAAAGATTTATATTCCTTGCAGACAGCTGGTCATTTGCATCCATTTAGAGGGTCCTTAAAGCACTTGGAGGTTTTTCTGTGGTTTACCAGCTGTTCTACAAGGAATATAAATCCTTCCATTTCCCACTATCCTCTCAGAGCTGAAAAAGCTTCTTGGATAAGAAGCAAAATGTCTTAAAAGGAAAGAAAAACAAGAAAGTCCACTTGCCTCCTAAAAAAATCATTTAACATGCTCTCATATACTCTCAGGTCTTTAACATAAGGAGAATAAAAATAATAGTAAGTTTTATATAATATGTAAAAAAAGAAACACAAATTCTACAATATTATGGTATTCTTGAAAAATAATTGCAATGATTCTTTGATAAAAGTAAGCATATGCTGGATTTCATGAAATATTTCCTTTCCATGTGCTTTGATCACTGAAGGATGTCATCTTGAATTAGCTAACTAAGGAACAGTAATATTTTTATTGTGGCTTTGTGCAAACTAGCCATTACAATAGCAGTCTGGGAGATAATAGATAAAGAACATTTTTCTCATAACACACAAGGCATGATACAATGTTTTGTTTGTATTATATTGTAAGATATTCTTTAAAAAACACACATATTACAAAATATGTTTATATTTATAATTATATGTTGGTAAGGTTCAGTTTTAAAATAAAAAGAGGTAGTTTTACTCTTCCAAATATTTCAAAACTAAGATCTGACCCTAGTATAATGTTTCATTAAAAGGAAAATACTTGGGAATCTGTGAAGAAATAAACTTGGGCAGGAAGTGGTAAGTATTTCTATCTTTTAGTGTAAACATGGAATTAGCATTCAAACATCTGTTGGGATTTGTAACTGATCCCAACAGCTGTTCAATTTCATCTATCTTGCCATCTTGGTCTCCCTGCATGCTCCTGAAACAATAAATAGTAACTTTTTTATATCTTACCAATTTTAACCAGATTATTTTTCAAAAAAATATTCTTAGCTTTCAAATCTCGATGAAGTATTTGTCTGAAAATAAAAAAGAAAACATTGTTCCAGTGATAAGAAAAAAAATGTTATTGCAACAAATGTATCTTGTTATGTTATAAAACTTAAACATGTCTCCTAACTGCATTCATATCATTGCTTTTGGACTGCAATCCTGAACACATTAATTAGCAACTAAGTCAATTTCTTGATTTTGAATAATGTTAATATCAAAGTTTTTTCCAAATTAATGGAGAGAGGATAGGCAAAAACTAAATATATGAAGGGCTGCAGGTCAAACTTTCTTTTTCATAACGTCCAGAAGGAAAATAATAAAGATTTTAAAAAGTATTTTAGCAATTCTGATTGAAAATGAATCAAAAAGTACCTTATAAATATATTTTGGTATTTTTGGACAGGAAAAGCTGGTTTTGGGGAAATTAGTGTATGAATAAAAATATCCTACAAAAAGGAGTCCTTGGTTAATCCAGCACATTCCATTGCCATTGTTAAATAAAGCTCATGGATTCTTAAGCAAGTCTCAAATGGTTGCAAACAGGTGAACAGGCAGGTAAAGCATAGTGCACGGCACATGCACAACATGACTGGCTCTTCCTGGGTGGTGAAGAATTTGTAAATGTACTATGAGTCATGGCATGACTGTGGCAGGGGGAGCTGCTACTAGGTGGGGGTGGGTACATCAGTGGCCCCAAAGCACAGCATGAAATGGCAGAGCAAGGGATGGCTCACTGTGCTTAAAAAGAGGTTTTAAATAATCCTCTCTCTGACATTGTTTTTCCTCCTATGTTACTGTTTTTATAGTCACCATATCCCAGGTACTTCATTTATACCTAAATCAGATCCCTAAAAGTGATACTGCCATTCAATTGGGAGAAGGGGGGCCTTGGAGTCGATTTATTAGCACTGCCTGTGACAACTGATATTTTACAACTGGTTCTCTGGCGCCAAAGCACCTTGAGATCCCTTCATCTTTTGGGGAATGTTTGTGATAGCCATGTGAGACGGTTCACTTTAACATCTAACGGAAGATAACCATGGGAATGTATGCTTATCTGATTCTCAGGGCAACTGGTAAAGGAACCACTTTCACACTTGTGTATTGGCTAAAATCTGCATTCTGACTAATGGGAGGGATCTCTACCGCTTTAATTCCAGACATTGCTTTGAACTGGAGGTTTTCACTACTACTTAATAAAAACTTCCTTTTGAAATACTTCATTTCAAGGGTCTTCACTTTCTTAAGCAGAAGGAGAGGCACTTCTTACAGATTTGGGATGAGAGGAAATCAAGTTCTGAGTGTGTATTGCAGTTGTTAGTAATATTTGAAACTGATATTTGCAAATGAACTGATAGCTCTATTCAGGAAATCCTACTTTAGAAAACAATATCATGCCACCATGAAGAAGATTCAAATATTTTTACACAGACTAAATGAATACTGTATCAGAAGGAAATGGCTAGTTCTTCCTGTTTGGACAATAAAATATTTTCACTTTCATAATAATAGTGAGACATAAGGGATCATTTCACATTTGGAAAAAAGTAGTTTTCATGTTCACATTAGCTTTCTTTGGAAATAAGCCAAAATGTACTTTCAATATATTTGCTATTTCATCTCTGCAGAAATAAAAGAGATTTAAAATGGCAAACTTTGGAAAATATATTATTTAAAAGGGGGCACTCACTTTAGCTACATATTAATAATCCAAATCCAGATAGCTGGACATAATTTCATATTAGAGATAAACAGCTATTCCACAAGCTTTTAAAGTGTTCACTCTATGTCAGCAATCTAGCCATGGAAACATAGTTTCAATTTATAGAATGACAAATGAAACTGCTGTACCTTTTATGTAAGTAGTTTACTCCAAGTAATAATTGTATAAACCATTTCACTATTTGACTTTCAGGAAATACTTTGCCACTTCTTTTGTACTCTTGAATTTTAAAGTCGAGATCTTGACCCTGAAAAAGAGAAGCAAATGTATATCTGATGAAAGCATTACATCAGCACATGAAATTCAATTCTAAGTGTTCCTAAGTGTTTAGGAAAATACTTATTTACTTTGTTACATAAACTTTGAATAACTCTGCTTGGTTACTTATATTCTTGAAGAACGTAAAATACAAAACTAAGGAAACAAGAAGCTCCCTATAGATATGCTTAATTTTATAGTGCCCAATGTCTCAGCCAGCTCATTTTCTAAAATTTCACTGGATTGTCTCAGGAGATTCTGTTAGGAAGTGAATCTCCACAGTAAGCATTTGAAGAAATTACTAAGAATCCTGAAACAATATTAGGGTGGGGGGAGGGAGTCCTTAAAATCTTTTAAAGACATTTAAAAGACATTCAGCAGCTCTTGAGAAAAATAGTACAGAAGTCTTACCTCACAGTATTCAGTAATGATGCAAAAACTCCCTCCTTCAACAAAACTTGTATAGAATTTAACAATGGCCGGATGGTCTAGCCTGGACAACAATTGTGCTTCCAAATTCGCCTCAACTGTTTCATTGGGTTTAAGATTCCCCACACAGATTTCTTTCAAAACTTTCCTGTTGATAAAATCAGTATATCATAAGATTGTGAAAAGATTAGAGCATGCACAGAGTGTAACTATTTCTTTATAATCCAGCTATTGTTATTCTTGCTGAGCTGTACCATGTGCAGAGATAAAAAGCTACAGGCTGAATGCCAAGCTTAGCCTTGAAGTAACTTTGCTGTAACTTTAAAATGTGTATTCTGTTTGTTGTAACCACTTGTTTTAGATAAATCCAAATCCAAATAATGAGCCCTAACAAGTTCTGGGTTAAATGCCAGCAAATGTGTATCGTTTCCGAAGTGAGGCGTGGGAGGAGTAACACATGGGTATTAACCCAACCCTTTTGCCCTGGAGACTGAGGTAAATCTTGAGGCCACACCTCCATTCCTCCTTCTGACCTCCAGATTAACTTCAGCCTCCAGTCCAGAAGGAGTGTTTTTCCTGACTCTCCCTCACTTCAAAGACTTTGGAGTTTTTCTACAGGACAATTTACCTTGAATTTAATTGCTGCATCCCTCCTCTGCTGTGCTCAGCTCTGCTAGTGTTTAAGCCTTGCCGCTTGCTAGCGCGCACGCCCCAAGCGACCAGACGGTCACGAAAAAGGAGAGGAAGCCTCCGCACGCGCGGAACATCAGGATCGGCTGCCCAGTTCCAGGAGACCGGCGAGGATCATCGAGGGACCGGGGATCTGGCAGGGATCGCCCCAGTTCCATATCGCAACCCCTTTCGCCTGCACAGTCATCTGAGACAAGGGGTGATCCCTTTAGGCGCAGGGCTCTAAGACTTCAGCTAGTCCAGAATGCAGCCGCGCGAGCAATTGTGGGTGCACCTAGGTACACCCACATTACACCTATCCTCCACGAGCTGCAATGGCTGCCCATCGGTCTCCAGACTCGCTTCAAGGTGCTAGTTGTTACTTATAAAGCCCTGCATGGCATCGGACCTGGGTACCTGAGAGACTGCCTCCTGCCAATTACCTCCCAAAGACCGATTCGATCACACAGGCTTGGCCTTCTCCGGGTCCCATCTGCCAGCCAATGTTGGCTGGCGACCCCCCCGGGGGAGAGCCTTCTCTGTTGCTGCTCCAGCCCTCTGGAACGAGCTCCCCGTGAAGATCTGGACCCTTACTACCCTCCCGGCCTTCCGTAAAGCTACTAAGTCCTGGCTGTTCTGCCAGGCTGGGGGCTATTGAAATAGCCAGCCCTGCTCCATTTGTGACTGTTGTGTATTTTAATATTGTTTGTATTGTCTTATTTATCCCCTCCCCCATTTTATTGTGAGCCGCCCGGAGTCCTTCAGGATTGGGCAGCATACAAAACCAATAAACGAAATGAAACAAAACAAAACGAGGGTTCTCAGCCCTGCAAGGCACAGGCTGGCACCACAATCCCCAGAGGCAAGGGACTGTTTACAGACTCCAGAGCTCCGTCCCTCCCTCCCAGAGGTCCCTGATAGCTTTCAGGAGGTTTTAGCCAGGGCCATAGCTCAAGGGATTGCTTCTGGGATGAAACATCAGTCCTAGGGCTCTAAACATAGGTCTTCCCGGGACCAGCCCAGGGATCATCAGAGCCACTTCAGAGCCACTGCTACCAGAGAGCCCAGGTCTTCCTCCCCTTCCACTGCCAGTGAAGCTACAGATTTAGAGGAAGGGGAGTTGAAGGAGATGGGGGTTTTCTAGGGATGAGGATGCCCAGGCTCCTGAGGCCCCCAACATCACTGGTCTTTCCCCCCCTTCTTGTTTAGCTCCTTACTTTGTAAGGCCAGGGCCACAGCAGACCTGGATACACCTCCAGATTCCAGGCCTACGACTGCCATGCCTAGCACTAGCAGGGGTAACAAGAAGGGACCCTCCCATAAATCCTATTTTCCCAATCCAGGGGGCAAAGAGTGGAGGTTCTATAATCTCAATTTTACCCCTGCCAAAACTCTTCAGGTTCCTGAGGTGGACACCCCAGTTGACACCTAGCCTCAGCTTCAGCCGTGGTGACTGGAGACATCGCCAACTGCCTTAAGGCAGAGGATAAAAATGCGGAGATCATTTTACGTAAGACATTCCAAGCAATAACCTGGGCCATTAGGGCGGCCGCTTCTGCATCTTTTTTTCAATAGATCTACAGTGCTGTGGCTGGAACAGCTGAGAGACAGGACCCCAGCCATGGAGGTATGACTGCTGCAGGACATCTCTAAGGTGCTGGTAGCCACACAGTTCTCAGCAGATGCCACCCTGGATGCAGTTAAGTATGCGTCTCGAGCCTTGTCATCCTCTGTAGCGTCCAGGCGGAGTCCTGGGCTAAGTGGCACCTAGCAGGAGCAGACTACACCGGGGACAAGCTCTTTGGTGCCTCGCTGGATCCTAACCTGGTAGAGGACAAAAACAAGCGGAAGGTTTTCCCAGCTACAACCAGATGGTCAGATTACCGACACGCTCCTTATCCCAGGACAACAACTTACCACCCGCCTGAATCGGACCTCCAGAATCAAAGGTACCAGACCCCGAGGTTTCATAGACAGGGGGATAGGCAGTTTCCTAGGGACAGATTCAGGGGCCAGCAGTAGAGCAAGCAGCCCTTTGGAGGAGGGGGCGGTCGCCTATTCTGCAGGTGCAAGTGATCCATTCGTGGATACCCCATTGGTGGTCGCCTCTCCCTTTTTGCGAATGTCTGGGAGCGCGTCACTTCAGACGACTGGGTCCTCCAAACTGTTAAGCTCGGGTTACAGCTGGAGTTCCGCTCACAACACCCAAATAGGTTCCGCACCTTCACTTCCTCTGCAGATACGGCCAAATGGGCCCTTAAGGCAAAGGCCATCAAACACCTGTTAGATATCAGGGCCAAAGACAGGGTCCCAGAGGGGAGAGGGGTTCCGGATTCTATTCGAACCTGTTTCTGGTCCCCAAGAGTTCAAGGGGGTGGAGAGCCATCCTGGATGTTAAACTAGTCAATTCCAGGGTGGTCTACAGGAGGTTCAAGATGGCCTCCCTGAAATCCATCTTAGAGGGCATCCGTCAGGGCGACTTCTTGGCCTCCATCGACCTCATGGAGGCCTACCTTCACATCAGAATCGCCCCAAAACATTGCAGGTTCCTTAGGTTTTCCCACGAGGGCAGTCATTTTTAATATAGGGCCTTTCCCTTTGGGCTGGCCTCAGCTTCCAGGACTTTTACCAAGGTGCTGGCTGTGGCCACAGATCACCTGCGTTCCTTCCCAGTCCGACTTTTTTGCTACCTAGATGACATCCTCGTCCTAGCCATGTCCCCAGATACTGCCAGGCAGGACCTGGGGGTTACCATCGACACACTCAGGTCCCTGGGGTTCTCTATCAACCTAGAGAAGAGTCACATGGTCCCATCTACCAGGCTCCAGCACCTAGAGTCCATAATAGATTCGGTGACTAGGGAGGTTTTTTTTTCCCAGAATCGAAAGGAGAGCATTGTGCAGCTGATTCATGAAGTTCCCAAATTATGCTCTGTCCCTGTAGTTCTTCTTTCCCAGGCTCCTTGGGAAATTCATTTCTTGTATAGGGATCATGCCTTGGGCTTGCCTACACGCCAGGGAGCTTCAGTGGTTCCTGCTTCCATATCAGAGAGCAGGGACAAGCGACGCCAGCTTCAAGGTTCGAGTGTCACCCCAGGTGCTGCTCTCGCTCCGTTGGTGGCTGACCACAGCATTAGACAAGGGATCCCTCTTCAAGGAACCAGCAAGGAAGGTACTCACAACTGACACAAGCCTGTTCGGCTGGGGAGCACACCTGGAGGCCCAGATAGCCCAGGGCCGCTGGACTCCAACAGACCTGCGCAACAACATAAACTGGTTGGAGCTCAGGGCCGTCCATCTGGCCCTATGTCACTTCAAGACCATGGTGACCAGTCATCATGTCCTGTTCCTAATGGACAACATGGCAGCCAAGGTCCACGTGAACAGACAAGGGGACACCCATTCCAAGGCCCTTCGCGATGAGGCCCTCCGATTGGGAAACTGGGCAGAGAGGCATCTCCAGTCCATCAGAGCGGAATACATCTCCGGGACAGAGAACCAGCAAACAGATTGCCTCAGCAGGGAAACGGTCGACAACGGAGAGTGGCAGCTCCATCCCAGCATCTTTTGGCAGATCTGCGAGAGGTTCGGCTGCCCGTCGGTGGATCTCTTCGCAACCCCAGCGAATGCCCAGCTGCCGACCTTTGTATCGAGGTTCCCGTCCAGAGGAGCCATGGACACGGACGCCCTTTACTGCAGATGGTCACCAGGTCTACTCTATACCTTCCCCCCCTTCCCCTCATTCCCAGGGTTCTGAGGAGGTTGGTGTCAGAGGGAGAAGAGATGATTCTAGTGGCTCCCTTCTGGCCACGGCACCCCTGACTAGTAGACTTGGTGGAGCTGTCCTCAGCTCCCCACTGGAGGATTCCCTGGGGGGAGGTGTCCCTACACCAGGGGTCTCTGGAGCATCCGGATCTGGAGTGGCTCCATCTGACCGGCTGGCGATTGAGCGGGAACAGCTGAGAGGGGCACATTTTTCCACGAAGGTCATTAGGACCATCGAGGCGTCCAGGAGGCAATCCACCACTCGCATCTACAATTCCTCCTGGGTTGCCTTCGCGGACTGGTGTCAAGCAAAGGACATCATACCAGCTTCGGCCTTTGTGCCCCAGGTTCTGGACTTCCTACAGGAAGTTCTGGAGAAAGGTCTGGCCCCCAGCATCTTTAGGAGACAAGTCTCTGCTCTCTCCATGATCCTGGGATGGTGGTGGATGCACCACCTTTGTCCCAACATCCGGTCCTCAGATGCTTCCTTAAGGGAGCAGCGAATCTGAAACCCCCTGTGGTCCATCAATTCCCTACCTGGGACCTACCCACAGTCCTCCAGGCATGACAGAGTCACCATTCGAACCCTTGAGGGAGGTTTCCCTACAATTCCTGACCCTTAAGGTCACCTTCATGGTTGCCATCACCTCAGCCAGGAGGGTATCTGAGCTCTGACCTCTGCACCTTCCTGGAGAACCAGGTCATCCTGAGACTG